GAGTGCGTACGGCATCCGTGCTCTTCGCGGTTGCAAGGGCAGTGAGATCTATCGGCGTCGTAGGTAAAAGTGAAAGTGGCGTGTCACTACACGACTAGAAAACTGCCGTTTTGTTGACGTTACAAAACGGTGGTATTTGATCTAACCCACAACACTACAGAACGGTTAGCTCTGATAGTTTTCTATGCAAGTGCATGGAAAAGCTGATCAGGACTCATGTCTGTACCCACCACTCAGCGTATTCAATACTTCGTGTGGCCCAGCACAGCTTTATGAAAAACAGGTCGTGCCTGATTAACCCCTTATGCTACCTGGACGAAGTCACTGAGAGCGTAGACGAAGGCAGAACAGTCGAGGTATGTTACCTAGATTTCAGTAAGGCGTTCGATTCCGTAAGTCATAGATTGCTTCTGCATAATCCAAGCTTCTTCGGAATCACAGGGGCAGTATATAATTGGATAGCAGCATTCCTGACCAATAGGAAATTCCGGGTTATGGTAGGAGAACAAACGTTCCAAGTCCCTCATGTCACTAGTGGAGTGCAACAAGGTTTGGTATTAGGCTCGCTTCTATTTCTGTTGTTCATAAATGATCTATCACAAATTACTAGCTCACCCTGCTTCATCTTCGCTGATGATGTAGAGTTGGTTGAATCTAGTGGAAGATCAAACGTGGAAGATGATATTCCAAAGGTGGTCAAGTCGTCCCACACATGCAGTCTCCCATTAAATGCAACAAAGTGTCAGTTACGCTCTAGAACTAGGGAATCATTGAAGGATTTGGGTGACCGGGGGAAATTCGAAGTAGGCAATATAACCAGGGATCTAGGAGTTCTAGTAACTGCAGAGTGCAGTTTAATTACCTAATGTGAAACTGGAGCACACATGACAAGAAGACAGCTGTTTCGACTAAGGTCAGCAGTTTCGTGTAGGAAGGCAGACGTATTAATACTCGTATACATGACCATCGTAAGGCCTCACCTAGAATATTGTGTTCAGGCTTGGTCACCCTTCTACAAAAAAGAAGCAGCCTGTCTGGAGAGGGTCCAGCGACTGGCAAAACGGATGGTTGAGGGCCTGAAGGGAAAAATATTCAAAGAGAGGTTGTAAGCGCTCGGACTTTTTTCACTAGGGAATAGGAGTTTGCGCGGAGACCTCATCGAAGTATTTGGGAGTAAGAAGAATTTGCTGGGTTTACATTCAGGGTCCCTCTTCACTGGGGCTCCCTACCAAGGAACGCGTATTCATGAGCTCAAACTTATGAAACAGCGTTCTAGGCAGTAGCTACGAGCACATTTCATTAGCAGTGAGGTAGTGGATAATTGGAATAAGCAACCGTCCGAACTGAAGAAGCAGCCGAAATTCCGAGCCTGTAAAAGAGCTTTGGACGCCAGATGGTTGGAGGGTTTACCTGAGATAGAATGTTAGGTGAATCAATTGTTTTTGGTAGTGGCGTGGCATCCCAACTATTAGGTTTTCTATAAACGACCGATGTTTAGATGTATTTTAGAAACATTGATGTCGAATTTAGCTGAAATGGAACAGATTTTGCTTTTGGCTGATTCGGGGTGATTTGTTCAAGTTTAATTTGTTTCAATAAATCTTAGTTGAATTAATCCAGAAAGTATAAATTCCGCAACCTAACGGCGACGATTACATCCATGCTCATACCAGCCATGGATCATGTTGACTTTACGGTAATTTTTGAACGAATGGTAAAAATTTTGCTATAGATCGCTGGACGGATTCTTGCAGGACCTTCGTAAATTTCAAGGGGTTACCTGCGCTTCCTTCTACGTTTATGCATCAATAACAGCCGAACAATTGATACGAGAGAGAAAGTTTGGTCGGAAACTGACCCTGCCTGAGGGTTTTCCGTACTACGGTCTTTGCTCGCGTGGTTGTGAAACGTCCAAACGTTCTATGCATCCCAGTTGCACGTTCCGTTGCATTTCCGCGGTGTATTGTCGACAGAGCTCTGTGTCGTGGACCAGTGGCCTTTTGATTTACTCTAACCTTTTTAGGGCTATCCCGTGGTTGTTGGGCAATCGGTCGTATCCCGTCCTATATGGCAACGGCACCTCGAACCGGTCGGGCTGGCGTGGTGTCCCCGTTTCGACTATTGCTAACGCCTGGTTGTCTTCTACGGAAGAGCCCCCTTTCTGATCGTTCAAGTCGTCGAACTCATTATCGTACATGCTTTGGAGAACTTGTTCGATTGATCCGTTGCCAGCGGTATTGATAGTGAAGTTAACCGACAATGGTTTACGGTTCGTTGCATGTGGCGGTCCAAACAACGTCCACCCGAAAATGGTGCGAGCAGCATATGGTTCTTTTCTGTCGCCAAGTCTCTGGTCTAGGACCAAGGGTGCTTCCGGCACATCGCATCCTATTAGCAAATCGACTTCCGGAGAATTGGATTCTTCGAAATACAGGTCTCGCGGGGGTAGCCAGCGCGTTGTTAATTCCCCGATAGATTCCACTGCTCGCATCGACAATTCGGTGATGGTGAAAGCATCCGTCACCTCTACTCGCTCACCATTATCTAGCGAAACCAAAATCACGTTTGCTTGGTCGGCGGAAGTCGCCTTGGTACCGTTCACCGTGCTGATCTTTAGGGAAGATGGTCGGTTTGTGGTGCTGTTTTTTTTACGGCGAAGCGCTTGGTGATCAACGTGGTATCGGATCCATTATCAATGAACGCCATCGCCTTTACCAATTCATTGGGTGTTAATATACCAAGTGGTGTTACCCCGAGGCGTATCTGCCTGTCCGCCGATTGAGATAATAGACATACCCTGGTTTTCGGGGTGCCGGTAACTCAGTTTCTATTATAGAGTGCAAGAGAGTATGGTGACTTGCTTGACACCTTTTCCACTGCATCTGCCATAATTCCTATAAGCGGCCGCACGATGTGAGCCCTTGAAACAGATAAAGCACGCATCATGCCTATTGGCTGCTTCCCAAAGCTCCAGAACCCCTAGTTAGACAAATTCCTCACACTTGGATATTTCATGATTCAAACGACACAAGGTATCTGGGTGTGCCACGTTCCCCTACGGTTGCATAGTTGTTTGCATTTCTGGAACTTCTCGGGATCTCGTAGATTTGTTCTTTGGTGTGGTGTCTCTTTTTTCGCCTACTCATGCTGGCGAGTTGTCCAAAGCGACTGCTAGCGACCTTGGCCCGGTTTCGGATGAATTCCGTTAGCTCGGTGAAATTTGGTTCCCTCCCTGAACGGACAAAATTCACCGCCTCCGCCGCCCATCGCTGCTGTATGTCACCCGGCAGTCACTGTTCTATTGCTTCTAGTGTGTAGTGCATTCAAATCAGCTTCGTAATTCATTTGAGTCAGGTAAATGAAACAACCTCATTACCAGTCAAACCAACGCTTCGCGTTCGTTTCTCGCTTTACGGGCCTCGGCCAGCACCCCATCTATGAGCGTCCGTGACACGTGAAACGGTTGGTCAAACAGATCCTTCAGGATGTCCCTTGCTTGGCTATACCCAATTTCGTTTGGTGGCATTACACATTCTTCGATAGCGTCTCTGGCCCTCCCGCGGCAATAATGCTTTTGGTACACAAACTTCTGCCCTGGATCGGAGACCCGACCCCAGACAAAATTATCGAATTCTCTAATAAATCTCCAATAGTTCCTGGGATTCGCGTCGAATGGCGTAAGCTCCACCTTGGACAGGTCTATCGACATGTGGCGGTTTATAACTTCCATCGGTGTTTGAGCCGCTTCCGGCGTCAGTTCAATGGGTGGGAGTGGTTTTTCCGTCGTGCTTAGTCAAGCAAGGTTGCCTAGCCCCTGATTCCCTGACCTTCATTGATCTTATCTCCTGCTCTGACTCTACAATCTTATGGAAATATATATCAGACATCTAAACAGCGGCATTACAATCTAGGGTACATGAACTTCTAGCACTAACAGGACCGACTCATTTAAAAATGTGAGAAACAGAAACCCCCACTCGAAATCCCCGGTAACTTGCCGGGTTACGTCCTATCCTTCCTTTCCGATCCTTTCTTGTACGAACGACATTCTCTTGTTACAAATTGCGCGAACTTGAGTACTGAGCAAACCAAAGAGACTAACCAGTAACGCGTAGCCGAAATCGGATCCCAAAACGTCAACAAAACGAATGATACTGGCAGTTCCTACGGCACTATAATAATAATCGATTTATAAACGTCAAAGTGATCTTGAAACAACTTGAAAACAAGAACCAAGTGTTACCGTGAGCGTAATACGAAACATCTGAACGGAAGAAAATGAGTCTGGATAAGAACAGCAACTCACCGTCACACTGCACACGAATGAGCCAAATGTGAGCGCTCACGTCGCGATAAAAAGAAGTAGCGTACGAATGAAGCAGATAAACAAACAAAGTCAAATGGTAGAATCGGTGTGTAAATATACAAAGGGAGTGGAAAGTCAAATTTTTATGTATGTATGAGGCGGGTGGTGTTCGGTGA